TTCGTGCAGGAGACCTAGTAACTCTCAAGGACAAGCTACTTGAGAGCCCAAAGGAAGCTGTACTAGTGTTATCAAAAAAGAGAAACTCAAAGACTATACCTAGGGAACTTCCAAATGTCAGAACTTTATAGGGGCTGGGAGAGAAACCTAAAGAACATGCTCCTCTGAGGCCATGCTCAGTAACACATTATGCACAGTCCTAGTACTCATGAACCACAAATCTTCTCTCTAGGAACTGCTATCTCTGTTTTCATTTCTTACCTTCCATTTGCTGCCAACGTATACAAGCATAGATAGCAAATGCAGGTTTGGTTTTTTACATGATTATGCTAATAGGTTTCATGAAAGAAGATACCACTTGCAGCATGTATTGGCAATTTAGGATTTTTTATAGTGAAATACCATTAGCAGATGGCAGAGGACTATTGAGTTGCACAAAGTACAGGTGTAGTAGCTAAGCAGCTGCCTTGCATGTTTCTTGCCCTTTGGAGAGAGGATTTATGCAGGAGCAGAACAACACTTCACATTAGTGTCTGAGCTAATTTGGCTGACTTCCCCATCCAGCTCCTTTGCTTTTTTTTTTACCCTGTTGCACGTGCCTTTATTTTACCTCTCCCAGAGCCTCATAGCTGTTCAGAAGTACTCCCTCCATGCCCAGATGCTGTGAGAGGGAACATCATGTGGTCCTGGCTGGAGCTGTGCAGACTTGTGCTGACATGGAGGGCTGTGGCACTTGTTCCCTGTCCACCCACCCCTCACTGTGCAGTGGCAACTATGCTTGTGTAAGAGACCTTGTCTTGGTAGTTCCCACTGTGTGAAACTTGGTCTTAGTTCAAGTCATAGCAAGAAAAAAAGCGAGTAAAATAATTTCTGCCTCTTGATTTCCTGATCCTCCCTTTGCTGAAGTGCATGGATCTGTATTTCATGTTTGATCAGAGGGACATAGGTGCTTTTGAGGAACTTGTTGTTAGTTGATTGTTAATTTTTCACTGGGAAGTGGCACTATGAGCTCTCTCTCTGTGTCCTGTCCAGCCAAGCCTGCTGTCAGGGGTGCTGCTCTTCTTGCTTTTGGGAGGCAGACATTAGCTTGAGGTGAATGAAACAAATTCTTATGTGTGAAGCCCAAAGGTTCTTGAAAGGAATTTCAAGGCTGCCCATCTGACATGTTTGAAGGACAGCAGAGGAGCAGGAAATGAGACAAAGTAACAGTGTTGTGGGAAACTTACTTGCAAACTTCCTTGTGTCAGTCTAATGCTGTTCAGCCCAGCCATGTCTGCGTGCTCCCATCCTGGCAGTGACCCTCAAGGGGGCTGTACCCATGACGTTCGCACCCCTTTTGACACCATGCAGCTGACTGGATTTCAAGCCAGCAGACGTTTGGGAAGCCTCTTTTACTTGTGTAGTTTCTAGTGCTTGTACATTGGTCTCTTCAGCCAAAGCTGTGTGTTCCTGCCGGGGTAGCTTGCTCCAGTCTTCCAGCACCCTGAGGGAAGGTGGCGGGTAAGAGGAGGGGCCAAGAGTTTAAAGCCTCCAGCAAGTGTACCAGAGCAGTGTGAGCAACACTGGGAAAATATGGAAACAAGGGTGGGAAAGGGAGAACCCTTAAGCAGAAGGAAGATTGTTCCCTCTGCCCTAGGCTTGGAGGTGGCCCAGGTGCCTGCAGGATGACCAGGCAGCAAAGAGGAGGAAGGTGTCACCTTGGCCCTCCTGTGAGGCCAGCTACAACTCATGGGTGTAGCACTGGTAGCAACTTCTCTTATTTGGCCTTTCTAATTAAAAAAGAGGGGTTTGGAATGAGTAAAGTCAATTAAAAGTGAATGCAAAAGTGGTAGAGAAGCAGCATCTGGGAAGAGGGTAAAGAAACAAGAAATGTCTGAAGTGGTGCATCTCAAAGCCTCATTGTTACTATATATATATTTTTGCCCTTCCTCTATTTTTTTCCCTTTTTCTCTAATTGTTGGTTTGTTTTTTTTTCCTTGGGTATCGCTCCTTTTGTTGAAGGCAGGTTGTACAGTCAAGAACAAAAACCTTAATACCAGACTTCATGGGGCCAGTTGCGCAGCTGGTGTGCTGGGCATCCCCTGCTAAAAGGAGGAGTTACTCCAGAAGCTTCTGAAAACTCCATGAATATTAATTCATCTACTGGTTTTGAATGTGGTGCTGTGTCAGGAGCTTTGTGTATAACTGCATAGGTATTCCTTGTGGGTTGTTATTCAGCAATAGTCTTGCAGTAGTGAAGTATGGTAGAGGTTTGGTGATTTAGAAGAACGTTGAGGCTTGTCATGGTTTTAAAAAACTCTACAGAAAAAATACCACATACATATTTTTATGGTTTCCTTGAGAATACAAAATGTATATGGACACAGCCAGCCAGCATCTTAGAAAATCTACAACAAACCTCACAGAGGGAATTCAGTGAAGTCTTTTCTCTGCAAATATGATGAATCATCTTATATGGCGGTCAAATTTGACACCATTCTGTTTTAGTGACTAAAGAAATGAAATTAATCTAGGTTGTAAAATCCAGAATTATTCGGGGGAAAAAATTCCTTAAAGCCATTTCCCAAAAAAGGCACATACCACAGAAATAAATTTAAAAAATGAAGTAATCTTTTTCCACGCAAGTTGTCATGTAATTTTGCAGTACTAAATCCTTGGTGAAAAGCTTGTACTTATCCTTCGTGCAGGAAAGGAAGATCGAAGACATTTCTAGTCCATGTTAAGCATTGCTATTTCTTTACATGCTGTTAAATGCTGATCATAAATACTGAATATTGCTTCAAATGATTCATGTCTCATATCAGCTTCAAAAATCAGTGAAACTGTTCTCATATATAATTAAGGAAGAAAGTCTGTATTGTCCCAGGAAGGTACCTGAAATTGCCACTGTCTGCCTTTTCTAGCAAAAGCATGAAGTATGTAGCAGCCCCTGACAGACAGGAGCATATCAAGATAGATTACCAAGCATCTATGAAGTAGATCAAGCAGAACAAGAACTTTGTTTGAGAAATATTATATTAATGATTCACCAGACAGACCTCACTACCGTAGAATATTAATGAGGCATTGTTAAATAAAAGGTGTGTGCGTGTGTGAATGTGTGACCATACCTATATATTATAGAATATCATTTATGTTATTTTATAGAAGATAAACCCCTTTAGCTTTCAAAACAGGGGGCTTTTTCTAATTGGCTACTATCCCTTGCTACAGAGATACCCAAAGTCCCCTCAAATGCTGCCTGAGATGCTTAACTGTGTTAGTATTGTAATGGATAGGAACAAAAAATACCAAGTTTTCCAGCTCGGGGGCGGGGGGGAAGGCAACAACAAAACCCAACTTTTTAAATCAAAATTATCCTACACTGCTGGAAGCTGCCTCTGGTGTTTCTTCTCTGTCCTAGACCGTGATACTCCTGTGGTTTGGGGCATGAAGTAGTCAATTGCCCAGCATTAGCACAAGGCTATCCAACTGACGGGGTCTTCCAGATAACACAAACTAGATGCATAAGACTTCTGTAAGTCTTAAGTGAGCAGACCTCCAGCATTTTGAAGGGCTAACAGGAATAACTTAGTGTATTCAAGGCTTCACATGGAAGAGATTCACATGATGAAATGAGTTTGTCAGCAGTGCTGAGCTCAACCCGCTGGTAGCTGACCTTGTGATGCCACTCACAGGCGCACAGTTTCCAATATCCTCCTTTGGCAAGGAGGAGGAAGGAGCAGATATCAAAACCTTTTTTATACATATCTTTAACATTTCACAGTGAGTGCATTTGTTCATCAAGTGCATATGATTTATAGGTACTATGCACTCATGATGTGCTGCTCTAGCTCTATAAGAGGGATTGCCTGTAATGTTGGCAGCAGCAGAGAAGGCTCTGGCTAATCCTGGTAATCCCTCTGACTTGTTTATGCTGTACATATTTATCTGTTGTAAATGTATGTTTGATAGGTCAGGAGTTCAATAAAAGTGAGTGTGTCTAACCTTGTAATACCATAGCTGCTGCCAAATGAGTTCTCAGGATCAGAGGTCTCTGCAACCTTAAACACTGCTGGTAGTGCTGCTTATGCAGCCCTGCTAACATTTAAATAAGCTTCCTCCATGCAAACAATTGATTCTTCCTGAACACAGGGTAGATAATTTGTGGTTACGTGTTGGCACTAAAGCTTAGGAGATGGTGTACATCTTGGGATGATGGCCTGGTGTTACGTACAGCTTCAGCACAGCCTATATCCCAGGCTGACAGCAAACTCTATGTTATCTCAGTTGGCTCAGGCCACCTTTATGCCTATTACAGAGATTTACAGCAAACTTGTGCTTCACAGAACTGAGCAGGGGTTTATTAAAGACTTTGTGAGTTCCTGTTAGCCACAATAAGGATATTATTGCTGCTTGTCCCATTATCATCAGATGAATTACTAATGTGTTGTTCACCACACTCAGTGTATGCCTGCAGGTGCAAATGGGACAGAGCTGGCTGACAGCATCTGAAAGCCTCTGCAGCAAGTAGATAAATGGCTGAAGTTTAGAGATGAACTTGGTTTGGAAGCAAACTTCCACTGAACCAAAAGAAATGTACAGGCTTTTCAACACTTGTTTGTTTGACTTCACTGGAATTGAAACTAGGTACATGAATGTTCAGAGGACAGAGGAAGGTGTCCAGAAATAGCACAGGAATTTAGAGCATCCCAGGGATAGGGATGCAATATGACTAGTAGCGGCCTTTTTGGCACACAGGTTGGGGTTTAAGCCATGTTTCCACTCAGCTGTATTCTCTGACTTTTTTTTTTGGGGGGGGGGTGGGCGCTGGGGAGGTCAAGTGGGGAAATTAAGTACTGGTCTTCATTTAAAAATGCTGTCCTGAGAAATACTTTGTTCTCCAATTGATAATTTCTCATAGAAAGCTTCTGCTGCAATAAATCTGCAGTTTAAAAGGGAAAAGAACAGCAACTCCTTATTTTAATTTTTTTTTTTTTTTAAGGTTTCCAGCCTGCTGTATTTTAGAGGATGTGCTACTGTGAAGGCTTAGATAAAACGGAAGGAAAGATCCTGCTATTACTTCTCAATGGAGATCCTAAAGCCTTTAGCACTTGAGAGCTGAATCAAAGGCCAACTGAAGTGAGAGTTTAAGGCTTTTGCTGCTGTAGGATGTGATGCTTCTGAGGCACCTTACTGTATGTAAGAAAGCCACAGGTAAGCTGTTATGGCTAGAATTGAAAGTCTGCTCCAAAGCCCAGTGACTTCAATGGGTCCCCAATTAGCCCTTATGGTGTGCTTTTTTTCTTGGTGGGGAGTTGGCAAGGGAGTCATAAACAAACCTGAGGCTCAGCCTCAGGGTGCTGCTTTGGATTTGGTTCATGCAAGGATGAGTGCTTTCACCCTTCTGGCTCTCTTTCTGCTCTCGTAATGTGTATAGGATGACCAAAATCTGGATGCCTTGTTTAGGTGATGTGGGAAGATCTTTTGTTGACAGGTTGGTAAATCAAGCCCCATGCCTGATTTGTTCAGTGAGCTGCAGGTGCTTTTATTCATAATCTGCAGCCCCATAGCAGAGGAGAGTTTATTTACAGCTTATAATGAAACTAATGGTTGAGAAACAAGTTGGTTAAAAAATTGCAACAGGAATGGTCATCAAAGTTGGAAAAGCAGGAGGGTTGCAGTGCAACCAGTCACTCTATAGTGGTGTTAGTTTTTAAGGGATTAAGCACATCTTGGTAGGTTGATGCTGAAAGGTAATGATGAACATCTGAAACCTCCTGTGGTGCTGGAGCTGCTCAGCACCTCCTGGGTTTGGTAGCAACATATGCTCTGTTTATGTGTACGATCAGCACCTGACTCTGCTGCTTTGTTATTTACTTTCAAAATGTAGTAATGCAACATAAGCCTTGAGGTTCACTAAATTCCCTGTGCTCTCACAGGATGGTGAAGGCTCAATTTGCATGTACACCGAATTGCTTGAATACACTGAATCAGCTACCTGATGAAATAGAAGCATCAGAAAGATATGTGGTTATTTAGGCTTTTGGTTAATGTTTCTGTAGTGTTCAGTAATAATAAAAAGATGGTGCTTTGGGTTTTGGGGAGGCATGTGTCTCTTCCACGAGAGTGAGGAGGGTATCTTATGCATTTGTAGCTGATTCAGGTGAGGAAATAGTCACCATGGCACTAATTTGCCCCTGGATTAGAAATGTCAGGAAAGATTGTGAAAATGCACTGATGGTAGCAATTATATTGATAACCTAGCATTCCCAGAAGCAGAGAAATCAATCTTGCACTGACAAGATTCTGACAAATTGCTATGAAAATCAGAAAGGAATCAATATTCATTGTGTGATAGAAATAGCTGAGAGGACTTTTTTATTCTTCATGGTTTTCCCTTTCATTATTTTTTCTTCTTCCTCCAAACAGTGTGGTTGAAAACACTGTTAATGAAAGAAGTAAGAGAAACTTTAAAAGAGAAGCATCATTGGATACGTAGAGTGGCCACCTAACTAACCTGGCTTTCTTTATACTTACCTGCATGTAGTATTTTGACGGCTTTGGCATTTAGGAAGGGTGTTCTCTGTGAGTCCCTTGTTCTGAGCTGAGAAGATGGGGGGTTACGTTACTGATATTGAGTTTTACACTTCTCTTTTATCCCTCTGATGGCTCTCATCAGAGAATTAGAAACAGTTTATCTTTTGTCCTGCCATTAGTCAATTAAGTTCATTGCTCTGTTAAAGGGACATCCTCCTGCAACTTCACGGACCTGGCTGATCCTTTACTCACAGCTGTGTGTCAGGCAATAATTTCATTTGGTAATAAATTAAAAGTTTGACACTCCAAAAGCTTGTCTAACCTTGCTTTTTTCAGTGAGGTTACAAAAACTTACACCAGCTCATGGTCTTCTCGAACTCTGGTTTCCAGCCCTTCAGTGTGTCACCAGCCATACACTTTGCACTGCATTTCATTTTGGTCTTCACACTGTAATGGATTTTATTTTAGTTCCAAAACATATGGAAAAGGGGCATTTGGACCTCAAGAGAGCTTTCCATCTTGAAATATAAGTGAATTTGTGATTGGGAAGCTGAAATAAAAACGAAGTGTTTTGAATGCATGGATTTTTTTAATTTTTTTTTTTTCTTCAGATTTTCAGTTTGCTCCTTTTGAGATATTTCTTTTTTAACCCAGTTTGGATTGGGGAAAACTGTAGAAATGTTCTGGCACCTGTGAGCTGAAATGGGTTATGCAAACTTGCAGTGATGGAAATAAGGGAATAAAATTGACTGTCCCATCTGCATTCTGTTGCTGCCTTGTTACTGACTATGCTGAGAACAAATTTGTTCAAATTTGAACAAATATTATTTGGCAAAAATGGTAAAGTTAATTTTAAGTCATCTGAATTGTACTGAGTTAGAAAAGATGGCAAAAATATGGAGATGTTTGAAAGTCCACGAGTTGAAACTAAATTGTGTACCATTAATTCAGAATCTGCCCCTTTCAGCAGTATGTGCAAGAAAACTAGAGACTTTGGAATATATTAGATTGGGAGCATTAAGTTTAACTAGAAACTGCTAAATGAAACGTTTAATAAAATTTCAGTAAGAAAGGAAAAAAACACTTTGCTCCTCAAAGCCCCATCTCCTAGGAAATGTGTATGAACCCAGCTGTCTGGGTAGAGCATTGACCGTGTACTGCAAATTTTTGTGGTAGAGATATATAATGTGAATCTGAACTGCCAGAGATCCAAACCTGAAAAGGTCCAGGAAGGACCAATTCTTGTCATGAATAATAAGCAGGCCAAAGTCATGTACTGTGCAAAATGCTACATTTCTACAAAGAGCAGCGAGTGCTAGAGGGTGAAAGTTTGCTTTTTCATAATGAGGAAATAATGTAAATGTATGTAATCATAAAGACCTACAATGATGTTTGAGGGAACACTGAGGGACTGACATGAGATGGTATTTAAAAGGAAAGTCCCAGATTCAGCTCTTGCAGGTGTTTCTCAGAGCCTGCAAGCCCAAGGACTGGGAGTTGTCCTTGGGCTGGAGCAGTGGGATGCAGGTAGGAGGAAAGTGGTCTGGCATCCAGGAAGCATTTGTGGTTCAGAATGTGCCTGTAATGAGTACTGTAACTTGATGTACAGTTGCAAGAACACTTTTTCCAGAAGCATGGTTTGTTAACATAACCCTCATATGCAGTATCTCCTGCCCTCTCCAATTATTCCTTCTTTGTCTTTCTAATGGTTGAATTTTTTAAATACTCTCCACATGGGGAAGTGACGGCATACTGCTATGGATGTAGTGCCAAGACATATGGCAAAACACCCTTTGTTCAACAGCAAATGGATTTAAGGGACATGTACTTGCCATGTCTTTGTGAGTCTTTGTGAGTCTTAATTATTACCACCAGTTAGCAACTCAAAGAAAACTATAATGCCAGCACCTAACAAGCTTCTTGAATCAAAGGAAGCTATTCCCGAATTGCACACAGCTTTTGTTTTGGATCTCAGATTAGCATAAACATCCTGGCTTGGAAATTTTCAGAAATCGAAAATGCCCAACAGTCATGTAAATCAAGTTAATTTACAACATTTCATTTCTGGTTTCTTTAACTGCAAATTAAACTATCTTCTGAAACAAAAAATACGTTCTCCTTCATCAAAAAGGAGATACAGGAGTATTTAGCAGCATCATAATATCTCACTTTTACAACTTGGATGTATTTTTAAAACAGAAATTGCTGTAAATGACTCTCTTTCCATGAGTAACTGAGCTTTAACAAAGTGTCATTTTCTTTTGGAGAAATGTCTCTGTGAAATTCTTAAGAGTTTTCACAGCAAATGATGCTCCATGGGAACTAATGTATTGTGGTTTGGCAGTGTGTTTTTAATGCTTTCAGTGAAGCAAAATGTGTGTTGAACTGGTCATGCCTGGAATATTTTTTGTCATATGAATGTTCCTGTTGTGTATAACCACAACTTTTGTGTTTTTCTTGTTGTAGATACTCCAGGATGCTTTGGCACTCTTTCTTTCTTGTTGAGTGCGTGCCAAAATGTAATTCTTTGCAACCTTGAGTCCAGAAGCTGAGGTTTTCCTGTATTTCTTCCAAGTCAGGCTAGTGTTGCTGTCCACAGCAGCATAGCTTGTCTGGAAGCTGACAGTGACTGGGTATAGCACTGGAAACACAACAGCAGCACAGTTAGTTTATTTGCTAGAAAAGGCATCACCAGCTGGGCCCTAAACTCAAGGACTATTGACTGGCCAAGCAGTTTGCAAACCCTTTTATAGAAGTCTTTGGCAGAAAAATTACAAATGTGCACTACTGCAGCATGCAGAACATCTTCACATAGTGAAATGCGTCTCTGGATTTCATTGGAACAGTGGGATACTTTGCATTCTGTCATGCTTCATTCTTCTGTGCACTTCTCTTGTCTGGGTATTGCTGCTCCTCTTTCTATTTTTAAACAGGGCTTTTTAAATTCTGGGAAAGTAGACCTTACGTTTGACAGCAACAACTCCTGACATAGGCAGCCAGCTTAGTATAGCATATGTGAAGAATAACAGTTATTCTCTGTCAATATGAAACCCCCAGGAGTAGAGTTTTTAAGACTAACAATTTATTCTACTAGCAAAAATATCCTTCATTTATTTTACTCTTCTCTTTCCTAAACACAGAACAGTAAAGTTCATTGGTGCTTATGCATATCAAATTGTCAGAGGGGTTTGTCCATTAAATATACAGAGTCTTATTTTTGAAGACAGACGTTGCATTATACTCTTTAGGTTTATTACACTATCTATTACTACTAGGTAAACCGTGGCCTTGACTTCCAAAGCAGAGATAAGTTATCAAAATAGTGCCAACACCCCCCTCCCCCACAAAAAAAAACCAGTGTTTTTTCTTTTTTGTGTTTTTGTTTATTTGTTTTTTGTTTGTTTGTTTTGTTGTTGTTTGTTTGTTTTGTGCTGGTTTAGGTTTTTTTTTTTAACTTGGTTTGTATACCTCATTCTTGTGCACAGAAGGCTTAGAAAGAATAGGAGGTTGTCATACAGAGCCGTTGCTCTGGTTTGATGCTGAGGATAAGGCATCTTTCATCTTTCTTTTGCTTTTGCGAGTTGTTTGCTATTTGGCTACAAATGATGTTTGGCTTTGGTTAAATTTCCATCAAAGAGAATTTTTTTTGTTTCTGCTGACAGCTTTGTGCTGTTGCT